CCCTCCCCCCCCCCTTCGGCACGGCCTGACCTACAGCGGGGGCCCGACCACAAGAAGCCTGCCACGAGAAACCCAACCCTGAGACCCCAGGATGTCCACAGTCGGGAGCGGCCAAGAGGGGGGTGTCCAAGAGGGGGGGGTGCAAATCATGACCGGCGGCATGTGCGCGGCCCAGCGGGGGGGCCAGGGACGTAGTGAAACAAGAAGAGGCGCCATGAAATCTGGGGAAATATCATGACCCCCGCCATGATATCCCCCCCCCTAGTCATCACCCCCCTCTTTTCCGCCCCCGACATAGGTTTTTGGTGCGGAACTTCACGCTTTCCGTAGCAAAACCATCGAAATCCAAGAGACCAAGGGCACCCTGGAGGCAAGCAGGGTGTTTCTTGGCATGGCTCTCCACCGTAAGGAGCGATGAATGTGGAACGACGCCCCACATGTTCCAAGTGAGTCTACGAAGTCCGAGGGAGCATCAGGGGGACTCGCCGCCACAAAGGTCGCGGAACGCATGCAGACCAAAGGAACGACATAGCCCCTTTTGAAGAATAAGCGATCCCTATTCAAGCCGGACCCTGTATGCTGCCCCCATCGTATCCAAGAGCCCAACGGCAATTCCGAAACATCCCAGAACAAGATCCGAGACATCGTGTATTCATGCTCCCACCAAATTGCATCCCAGAAATGCTTTCGAGCACCCAGAGAAGTATCGAAACAGTGTCGAACGAGTATCGCCCCCCAGGGCTCGACACTTGACAACCCTCAAGTTTCGGTCCTTTCCTGGTGCTCGAAGTTCCTTCTGGTGATCAAGGCTTAAATAGGTTGGAACATCATAAGATGGGTGGTAAGGACGAAGGACACTTGGAGGCCGAAGTTGGGATGCTTGGGCGGCGGGCGACCAGCGAAAACGGCAGAGGACGGGCCGCAGAGGCAAGGACAGAAAGGGTACCCTAATTAGAAGAAAACGCGCGTCCTCGCTGGCTCTGACTGCATATTGAAGACTGACATATTCAGCCCCCTTTAGCACAACGCGGGGTAGCAAAATGAACGAATCGGGCGAACAAACGTATCGGGCGAACTAAATGTATCCAGAAGCAAACGAACACATCGGGCGAAATTCACGTCGATTAGCGGCACCGACTGCGGACTGCACCAGCGCACTCGAATGCCAATGTCGAGTGAACTGCTGAGGAGTTCGTCAGTCGAACTGCCTAGGTGGGCGTTCTCAAAGCGGCACGGGAAACCCACAAAAATCGGCACAAAGTCCAGGATTGCCGATATGTTGAAAAGTATGTCCTGGACGTGTCTGTTCCCTTCCACTTCCATGCCTTACCCCGCATCTACACAGACACACGAAGATGAATCTGTGTTAGTGTGTATTTGTCCCTGCGCGACCCGCCGATCCAAAACTCCCCCGCCAATCGCCGACCCGTTCCCTTCTGGCAGCAAGGCCGGCAACGGGCGTGCAACGGCTGGCTGGCGGCGCCGCCGGCTTGTAGCGGGCGTCCCCCGGGGCCACCAGCAGCTGGCAGCGGCGGCCAGGCGGGGGGCGAGGACTCCTCCTCCTCCTCCTCCTCCTCCTCCTCCTCCTCCTCCTCCTCCTCCTCCTCCTCCTCCTCCTCCCCGTTCTCCTCCTCCTCCTCCCCCCGTCCTCCTCCTCCTCCTCCTCCTCCGAGACTAGAGGAGCAACGAAAACAGAAACATAATCCTACCAGCCCAAGTGGGCGTGAGCTAGATCCTTTCTTTTTCCAACACCCCTCTTCCCCTTCGGGAGGGGGGTGCAGGGAGGGTGTCTGAATCACTGTTCCCTATGAATAAACACCCCCTCCCCCAGGCGACTGGTGGCCAACCAGGAACCATGAGGGCCCCCCCCCCACCATCCCTTTAACAAAAACAATACAACATACACCCTGCATCTAAATTCGGAGCATGCGCAGCCAACCCGATGCGGCCTCCCCCCACCATCTCAGTCAAAAACAATACAGAGTACGCTTGGCGGCGGCGGCGGCGGCGGCTGCGGCGGCTGCGGCGGCGGCTGCGGCGGCTGCGCGGCGGTGGCGGCGGCGGCGGCGGGGGCGGCGGCGGCGGCGCGCGGCGGCGGCGGGCAGCGGCGGCGGCTGCGGCGGCGGCGGATTGGCCCCCAGTAGCTGCCCATCCAAAGACGACTGCTGAATATGCTGAGGCTCGGGCCAGACTCGGGTGCTACGTATGTGTTGGGAGGGCGGGTGGGAGTGAGCGAGACGGCTTGCGGGCGGGGAGGGAGTCTTGACCCTCCCCCTACCCCCTCCCCCTGGACCTGGACGGGGCGCCCCGCGACCCATCAGAGCATCCAAGAAAGCCTCGGTGAGAAGGCAAACATCACTGATTCTACAAGGTTTTGGGTCAAGCTTGGCCTCCTGCGGGGGGAGGGCCTAATATGGTTACCCCCCTCTTTGACCGATCTCCTCCAAGCTGGCCCCAAGATGGCCCCCGAGGCTCGTCAGAATGCTCCAAGAGGGCCCCCCAAAGCGCAAAGGAGGCCCCAAGATGCCCCATGAGGCCTCCCAGAGGTCCCCAAGACGCTCCCAAGAGACCCGAAGCACCCACGACGCTGTAAGGGCCTCCCAGAACCGCCAATGGCCATTCTGCTCGTCCTCCTCCTCCTCCTCCTCCTCCTCCTCATTCTCCGCCTGTTTCGCCCTGGTTCCACTTCCCGTCCCTCTCCCCCTCCCCCTCCGATTCCTCATCCTCCGTCCTCCCCGTCTTGGGGTATGACGATATCCACAGCCTGCTGTACCACTGCATGCTCCTCCACAACTCGCCTGGGCATCATTTCTGGTTGGCCTGGTGGATGTTTTTTTTGTTCTGAACCCCACGCGGATTTGTCGGATTGTCGCTGGATCCCCCTCCCTGGCGCGCGGAGCGCGCCAAGGGCGGCGCCAAAGGCGCCGTCAAGGGAGGCCCAACGACAATGCAAGACATCCGTTCGGAGCTCCGAGAGAGTCAGTTTATACAGATGTTTGGTGTCTCAGAGGCAGAAGGGACAGGATTTGAGCATTGTTTTACCGATCCCCATCCCAGATGACATGGCCGTTGCCCGTTTGGCTCGCCTACCTCCCCCTGGATGGGGATAGATGCTTCCCCCTTCGAGGTTCGCGGGGCCTGTCCCCATCTTGGGGGGGTGGTCTGGCGGGGTTGAAATACCGATAGGGATCGAACAACCCATACTGAGGGGTGGAGACTTGGAAATGGGTACCAACATCAACATCGGTACAGTGGGTCGCCTCCACCAAGGGAAACCAATCCTAGACTTTCGTGATGGCGGTAATCATTCCGTCACCAAAGAAACCAGATTTGTGCCACTATCATCGAGATCGGTATCATCTTCACTCGGTGGAGGCAAACGCCGATATCGGTGTTGAAGCCAAGGGCCAGGAAGTGGCAAGTCAACGTGTTGATTATTCCTTGTTTTGTGTCCGAACGTCCCGTGTCTTCTTCGACAATAGATCGCTGCCGGGTTCTCCACAACGGCGTGTTACTGGTATTTTTTTGTCGTTCCCCGGATGGCCCTCCTCTAAGGGTTAGGAGGAAACTAATGGAAGTGTTTCGTGGGAACGGTCAAAAGCTATTAAGCTCAACGGGCCATTTGCCCAAATTGGCCAGGATTCAACCTATACTTAAGCTGGATGAAGCAGGATCGAAATGAAATCAATGGATTTCTGCTGGCTTCCGAACACGGAAATACCAAAACGCCGATGCCGAATCTACCCTCCCGGGAAATGCATCCTAAAGCAAAAGATCCACAGAGAGTGGGGCGTCGTAAAGAGCGAGATGCGACAACCGCCACGGAGAGAGGTGCTTGCATCGTCCTTCCGTCAGCTGGGTCACCGAACTTTGCGCATCGCGCCCGGCGACCCCTGAGACCCAAACGCTGCAATTGCTTCACACCCGGCATTTTCGCCCCGCGTTTCGGGCCTCGGGACCATCACAAATCGGCCTGGTTGGAAACATGCAACACAAAGATGGGGTCCAAGGCTTCGAATTTGTTCGCAACGTTGGATATCAGGGAACCGCGACGCGCGATCAGCTTCGCAACCTCGCTCTGCCCACCTGGAGAGGGGCACGCGCCGTGGCCCAGACGGCGGCGCAGAACGAAACGCGGTTCGCCTCGTGGTTCTTCGGGCTTCCCGAGGCACTCGAGAACCGTCGGCCACCGCTTGCCCCTCTATGGGGCTTATTAAATCCGCCAGAAGCACCAAGACCGCCGCAAAACAGCCACCCGAGAACCGTCAGCCACTCGACACACTTACCTTCTGCATTGACGGACGTTCGGGCGCCGCTTGCCTCTCTATGGAGTTTATCGATCCGCCAGAAGCACCAAGACCGCCGCAAAAGAGCCACAGGTGACCACCCACGGAGCCTCGTCAGGAGGATGCCCCCCAGGAGGCCAGATCACACCCAAACCCAAAATAAAAAATTGCTGATGGCCGCCTCGCTGGCTTCCGATGTGCCTCCGAGACTCAAGATGAGTCCCGTATGTTCAAAGCTGGCTCACAGAGGAGCCGAGAAGGCCTTCAATGAGGGCCACGTTCCAGGAGCGTTCCAAACGATGCACATATCTATTTTCAAACGACGATGCGTCGGACCCCAACGGGGCAACATCATCGTGGGCGGCATGTTTGTTTCATCGAAAGCCTCCAGGATGGTTCCTAGACGGTTCCCGAAAAGAGGCCGCCAGTAGAGGAACCAACAACGGCATACACACGTTAGCCACCGCGGGCCCCGTTCGGTGTGGTTCTAGCAATGCGTTGTGCCATTTACGCGGGACGATTTTTGAGGTGCGACTAACGTTGGCATACTTGCGCGTCGTGACCACCTCCCATGCTCGCGCAAACCTCCCTTCCACCCGCCCGCAGTCTGGTTTGCAGAACCCATGCGGCGGCGATTGCAATGACAGCTTGGCGCTGGCTGGTGAATCGATGCGTCCGCGCTGGCGCGCGCATGCTCGCGCTCACAGCGGCCAGCTAGTCTTGCGCGACCGACGCCGCCGCGGTGGCGCTGACCGATCTGAACTCCAAGCGCGTCCCGCAAGCCGCGCTGGCGCGCGGGCACGTCCGTGCGAGTCGGTGATTTGGGCGGGCGCGGTATTATGGCGAAGTCGACAACGGTAGACACGATGCTGATAGTAACGATGTTGGTGATGATGATAGCACTGACGACGACGACAAAGGCAAGACGGTGCCGATGCTGATCACGCCGATGACGATGATGGTGTCTTCGCGCTGGTGCTGACAATTGGAACGCATATTTCGACATGCGCGCGCGGCCGACGTACGCGAATGGCCCGCCTGGCTACATTTGAAAAATGGTTCGTGCCCCCCCAAAACGCGAGCGCAGGGGCGTTCGAATGAGTTCGACACGCGCGCGGGGGATGCCCGTCTGGTCGAAGGTGGTGCAAGTGTTGAAATCATTTGGTTTTTAATTTTAAATTCGCAACAGCGCGCATAACGTGTTCCGAAACCTGATGTTGCAATACTATGTGTTTTCTATACGTTATCTGGCCACTCGATTTTGAAATCCTCACGCAACCAAGCTCGTTTGGAAAATTTGAGAGGTGCGCGCGACGACGCGACAATGCGCACGTCGTCCCAATTTTCTGTCAAAGACCCTTGAAACCTGTTCATGTTTGATAAACGAATGCTCGCGCACAACATTTGGTTGCAAAGGATGGCGCGGGGTGTCGATACCGGTTTGGCTGGGATCATACCAGTTCATATCTAAGGATGAGCGCTGGGGCTGAACTGTATGCGAACTTGCAATACGAAGCGGCGGTCGGGTAATCCTGGGGGTGAGTCGGTGGCGTGGCCCTCTTTTGTTCGAAGAGCGAATCTGCGTCGTGCAGTCTAGGCGGCGACGGGGGTGCGACGGAGGGCACGCCGCCGCTGCACGCTGCACGCGGGCCCAGACGACGGCCGGCGACTGAGGCGGCGACGGCACGCACGTCGCCGCCAGAGCCGCACGCAGGCCCAGACCACGGGCGGCGACGGGGTGGCGACGGCGGACACGTGGCCGCCAGACCGGCAGCCAGGCCCAGCTCGTTGGAACTTCAATTCGAGCCCCTGAGTGTGCCAGCGCTGGCTAAAGAAGAAGAGCAAGGTTCGGAGGTCCGCGTGCGCGCGCATATAAAAAGACGCGAAGATCGGGACAACATCGGATCGGGATAACTCGAAATCTCTGAGAATCGGCGGGTCTGGAGCATGTATGGGGCGCCGCGGCCGCTCCAGAGCGTTCCGGAACGCTCTGAGAGCGCTCCGGAACGCTCTGGAGCGATTTATCCCGATCCTAGCCCTGTTTTACTGTCCCCCTCCAGGGGGATTTTCGACGAAAAATGAACAGTACTCCAAACATACACCATAAAGGTAAAACATATGCAAAAAGTAGTCTCCAGACTATTTGTTGGGCTATGTTTGGATTCTTTTTGGGGCATTTTTGATTTTTCGTCGAAAATATCAGACCAGCGCTGGGCCCCCGTCGAGCGCGCGGAGCGCGACCCCCGGCGCCGCGAAGGGGGGGGCGCGGGGCCGCCCCCCCCCCCTCTTCCGGAGGGGCCCCGCCCCCCCCCCCCCCCCCGCCCGCTCGCCCCCCGCATCCCCCCGCCCGCCCGCTCCCCCTCTCGGGAGGGGCCGAACCCATGCGGAGGGAAGCCGTCCGGAGCGCTCGGTCCCCGTCTGGGCTTACTTCGTCTGTGGGCGTAGCCACGCAGCCGCCCCTGGTGAGCGCTTTCTTGTTCGGCGTTTCGGCACTGAGCGGAAATGAGGGGGAGGGGGGGGTCTGGCTCCAGACCTCTGCTTCATGCGAATGTCTGCAGCAGCGCGTCCGATGGGGGAGACTCCACCTGCTCGAAAGAGACGCCGAAAACAGCCGAGATCTGCTCCACAAGGGGGGGGAGGGGGGGTGCGAGGGCCCGCGCTGATCGGCAAAACAGTAAATGATAGATCCGGAGTGCTCGGTCCCCGTCCGGATTTGAATCCCTGAGATCCTGGCGTTGAGTGTTTGCTTCGAGCGGGGCGTGTTCGCCCTGTTTCGGGCACGGGGGCCCTCGCAGATCGATCCGGCTCGAGAAATGACGCAGAAAGATGAGGTCCAGGGCTCCGGGCGTGCTACGTCGGATATCAGGGACTGCTGATAGGATGCTAAATCCGTGCGGAGTAAATCCATGTGGAGAGCTCGGTCTCCGTCTGGGCTTGCACTGTCTGGACTTGGCCTCTCGTCTCGGGGATCTTCTGACCCGGGTCAATCCAGACTCGGGCCAGTCAGGCCTTGCAGGATCCTGCAAGATCCTGCACGATCCAGCAAGATCCTGCACCCAATCCTGGGTCAATGCGACCCTGGCCCTGCAGGATCCCGCAAGATCCGGCGCTCTGAACACCCCCCGTTCACATATTGACCCCCGTCTCCCCAGACATGCGAAGTCCTGAATTTGTTCTCACACCCAGTTCCCCGAAGTCCCGACCCTTTCCCCAGGATCCCTGTCCCTCCCGAGTCGTTTTCTGACAGCCCTGGGGCCCGACGATGGCCCCCGAAGGCAGAACATGGCGAAAAACCTTCGTCGCCCTTCTTCCACTGCGCGACGGGGTCTGGGTTCGCATTGGCCCCCGCCCCTTGAGACCCGATCGTCCCGCGGCGGCGCCTCGGCCGGCACCGACACCCGCACCCGGAGGAAGGCGCTGATGCCGTCCCCAGCCTGGCGGCGCGCCGGCGGCCCGCGGAGGCGAGGCCGCCCGCCCTGCAGGGGCCGCAAGCGGCCACGGCCACGTCGAGGACAGGAGGAGGAGGAGGAGGAGGAGAGAGGAGGAGGAGGAGGAGGAGGAGGAGGAGAGGCGGAGGAGGAGGAGGAGGCGGAGGAGGAGGAGGAGGAGGAGGAGGAGGAGGAGGAGGAGGAGGCGGAGGAGGAGGAGGAGGAGGAGGAGGAGGAGGAGGAGGAGGACGACGCCAGAGTCCCCAGGGAAGACCCAGGGGCCACACCGCCCGACGGCCCAGGCCCAGAGGCCTGCCCGTCGGGCGCCGCCGCCGACCCCTCACCCGAAGCCGAACCGACAGCCGCCACCAGGCCAGGCTCGGCACTGGCGGGGGTCGACGTCCCAGACCCCCCACCGACGGGCGGTTTCCTCAAGCAGCCTGTCGGCCGCCTCCAGCGCCGCACGAGCACCCTCGGACACAACCAACTCCGAATCACTGGGTCCCCGACCAAACACACGATTCGCTTTCCAAAAGTCGAACGGCGATGGGCGGCAGCGGGCGGCGGCAGCGGTCAGCGAGCGGAGACCAGCCTCGGTCCCAGTGAACGTGCCGCACTCACGACATCTCCACTCGCCCCTGGTCCTGCTGTGCCAGAGGTGGTGACCTGCAGGTCCCACGATCGAAACAACAGGCGCAGGCAACTCGGGCTAGGGGTCTCTCGCTCTGGCCCCCTCAGACTCCGACGAACAAAGCCCCAGCTCAATGAGACGCCCCCCAGCCAGGGCCAGATACTTAGAGAACTCCTGGGATTCCTTCAAGGCAAACCTATACAAGTCAGCTGTCCCGCGTCCGACCGCATCAGCCCAAGCCCCCAGTTTCGCAAAACAATCGGCCCAGGCATTCCCGAGGACATAGGGGGCCCTGCTCGGGCCCGAGACACGCAGCATCCTCGAGGCCCTTGTGGGCAGGGCACCAGTGCGCAGCAGGGCGCCCCCGTCCCCCCGTGGCTTCGACCACAGCATGGATCTGCTTCCAAACAGCTGCGCGCTTGCCTGCTGAGCTAGCGGCGACCGAACTCCATCCGAACGCTTCGCGAGCCAGGCCGAGGAGGTCCGCGGCAACATTATCCACAAACGGCAAATTTTGCAAGGCACGCAGCATCGCCACTCTTTCAGCTTCGCCAACTGTCTGGCTTGGCCCCGCGAGCCGCCCATAACAGGCACCCAGCGAGAGCCCCGCGCCAGACATCTGGACAACAAAGAGCATCCGCAACTCCGAGTTTCCGGCTGGTTGGACCACCTCCCCGCGTCGTCCGTGAACGCAACGTTGCCTCGCTGGCCTGGGGGGGGGGGGCGGTCCAGTCGCCCCGCCAGAGACGCGGCGGGTCTCGGGGCGGCGGCGCGCGGGGGCCTGGAAGACGCGGCATGCCCACCGAGAGCTCGAAACTATGTGGATCTGAAGCCCCGCGACGCCCGCTCGGGCCCCGGGCCAAACAACCAGCACGAGTTTAAACCTGAGCCTCAGAGATCGGCACTTCCCCCCCCTTCAAGAAGCGTCTCTCGCAGCGCAGGACACTCAAGGAGGAGGTGGCCGATGGGCTCACATGGGGCACCGCGCCCCCTACACTTTGGGTTGGGCACGTACCCTGCCGCGTGCAATCGGTCTTTCAGCAGCCAGGAAGTGGCCCACAGGGATCTGACTATCCCAACTGACTTCGCAGTCCTGAGCGCGGCCCCATTTGGGCCCAACCAATGCTCGGATCCCGCGGGGCCACAACCCGCAACCGCCAGGGACATCAGGAAAGTGGGCCTGGATCCTGCGTATCTGCCACCTCTGAATGCCTGCGCGCAGCAGCTGCATCATATGATGAGGGTCGATCTGCAATGACGAGAAAAGCTCCCCCAGGTCAGAGCAAACCAAAATCGACGACTCCATCGACCAAGCGACCCTGCTCAGAGACAGGCGAACGACCGCCATGGGCCCCGACGCATGCCGCCAGGTGAACGTCTCTGCTCGCTTGTCCGCTAGCACCCTCCAAGCCCTCTCGAGCACTCCGAGCGAAAACGTCTGCATCCACGCAACATGGGCATCATGCTTAAAAGGGCCCAATCGTAGCCTCAAACATCGGATCGCACCAATGGTCGGGCTGCGTAGCCAGGTAGACCGTGATGCCCCCCCCCCCCCCCCCCCCCCCCCCCCCCCCCCCGACCCTTGGCACCCACGGGGCCCCCGCAGCAATTCGGAGCCTACGGGGCCCGGTGTCCGCGGTGCCCGACACTGCGCAGCAATGGCTAGTCCCAGGGAGCAAACCAGTCCTCCAGAGCCTCGAAACCTTGTTCCCCGCCGCCTTACGCAATGGATACGTCCTACGCATTCGGATCCTGAGCTTGGCAAGTCGAGCTCTGGTGATCGGTCTCGTCCGATCTCGCCCCGACAGCTCATGTCCTAGGTTGCGCATGCTGCGTGTCTCCTCGTGTCTAGCTGCCCCCGCCCAACGGCGCGAGGCCGCGCGGCTGCCGGCAACATGTCCTGACTTGCCCGACGCTGAGTCCTGCAGCACAATACCTATCTGCATCACATCTGCCTTGACATCGGCCAGGGCATTCCACGGGTTCTCCCCCCCCCCCCCCCCCCGCGCCGTCCAACCGCTCCCCCACCCGCTGCGTCGCAAGGTCGTCTGCCAATGCTCTTGGCACGACCCCGCGCGGCCTAACCCTGCGCGCAGCACGCAGCGTGAGGAAGGCGAGGAGAGAGGCATAATGGGCACAGCCTGCGAGGAGCCCTTGCCACGAAACAAAGGGCTTGGAGTGCGAGGCAAAAACCTTCAGCACTCGTGGCTGTCGGTGGTACTCAAGCACCATCCAAACTAGCTGTAGCGGAAATCCATGATGTCGGGCTTCGTTGCGCACCTTGCGAGGGCTGATAGATTCGTGGCGCGTCCAAGCGCCGACGGCCGCCGGGGCCGTATGCCGCCCAAGCAGCGCCGCCGTCTCCGCATACAGATTGCGTTCAATTCCAGCGGCTGTCGAGCTCCGCCCTGCGCCACCTGCGCCCCAGACTTCGCTCATCTCCGTGCTGGCGACCCACTGCTTTGATGTGATGCTGCGCTCTCGCGCCCAAAGACTGACCAGCGAATTAACTGGTGCAACCAATCGAGACCCTCCTCCTTCTTCGGGCAGCCTTACCAACGTAGTGGCCAGCGCCCCTAAGACTCGCATCTGCTTAAAAAGCATCGACGAGACGATGGGCTCAACATCTGAGGCATGCCATAGAGCCCGCGGCGATATATTCATCTGCCCGACCGCCGTGGTCTCTTTAAACTTGAGGCGCGCCGGACGCAGGAACTCCACCGACATCTCGGATAGCTGGCCCCGCGCGTGGAAATCCGAGGGCCCGTGGAATTGCGCGAGCCCATGCTCGGCCCAAATACCTTTCCACTTGCGCAACTCTGTCGACCCACTGGCGCGGGCCCCCCATCGCGGTTTGGCCCGGCACCTCCTGCAGCATACGCGGGCGAGTAAAACTGCGAGCCATGCGAGCACCCTTCTCCAGACTGGCGAGCCCAAGTCTTCCGAGCACTGGATTGTTCACGTTCGAATTGGAGCGCTTGGCCTTCTCCGCCACTTCAAGAATACCTTCCGTGCACTCATCCGCTTTGCTATCCAACTAGACCTCGATCCCTCGCTCGAGGAACATCTGGAGATCGGCCGGAAGCAACGGCATCAATGGTGACCGACGTACCGTGCAATAAAGACGCAGAAGATCACCCGCGATCTTCACCGACTGCGCAGTTTGGGCCGGCGCAACTCCACGCGCAACATTCGCCGCCATGGACTTCTGAGCCCTGTCACGAAACAGCTGCCGTGTATGACGTCCATGCTGCAACCGCCTAGCCGCTACCTGCAACGCCGCCGTCTCCTTGCTCTGATACGCGCATCGCCGCGGCGGCTTCCAGTCCAGCTTGGACAAGGAAAATTCGACAGGCCGCCCTCGCCCAGCATGCGACGCGCGCTCATGCGGCGCATGGTACCACCTGTCCGACAACTCACACTCGATGCCATGAATCACCTGTTCCCAAACCCTCCGGGACCCGGCTTGGCCCTGCGCCGCTTCCACGCAACGGAGGGCCACCTGCCACTCAACGCACCAATGAAAGTGCGCGCGTCCCATTGGAGCCCTGGGCCGCCAGATGCGGGGCTCGCAAGGGGCCCGCACCCAAGCTTCGACGTCTTGCACCAAGACAAGAAAGTTGACAGGATGATGAGGGTAAGTGGCCGCATCCTGGGCAACGTGCGGCTGCGAAATCCGCGTGACCAGGCTGCTACATATTATCCAGTGGTCGATGGTCGCGCCAGCACCCTGCGCGCAAGTGATGTTCAATGGCACCAGGTGCAGCCCCTGGAAGCCCTTCGACCACCCTAACATGAATACTGATCAGCCCATATTGACACCACCCAGACAAAGCCAGTCCAAGCGCAAGGAGTCGAGCACTGAGAGAATGCTGCAGATGTGCTTGGACGTAGGCACTATCCCCGCCCAGTCCCACGGAGTCATGGAAGTACGCCGTGACAGTGAGTAGGCCATTCTTGAGACCGTAGTGTGCATGTGCAGCACCCAACCTGCCTGGCACCGCCGCTGCATCGAAAAAGGGAGCAGCCGTGACCGATATATGCGACATCGCAATCGCACGCGCACCTCCCGACGCGCCACCAGCCTCCGTAGGAATAGCCTCCTGCCAGACGCCATGGTAGCCCAAATCCTTAACTTGCTTCTGTAGTGTAGCAAGTCTTGGCCCAACCGCATGATGCCCCTGGACCGCGATGATACTGCTCGGCGGACCAGCAGCCGAATGCTCGACGAGTGGGGCGCCACAGGAAACGTTGACCGTCGTGATCACGCCCTTGATGCCGACCCCCTCATCACCATCGCGCAGACTGCGTGCGCGTCCTAACGTCGGTTTTCCCTGAGCTGCATCGAGCGCCAGTGGAGTGGAGAATGCCGCGGGCACTGCCGCCAGCGGCGTCGAGGAAGTTGCCGACGCCATAGCCGCCGACCCATGAGATACTCCCATAGAACACGTCATCATACCGATGACAAACAACACCCGAGCCAATACTTTGCCCAAGCGTACGCATTCAATGCGGCGACCATGGTTTGACTGCATACACCTTCTTGGCCATGGAGCGCAGGTCCGCCCCATCCTTCGGCAACTCCCCGACGAAATCGAGCTCCTCCAGGCTGGCACGCAGCACTCCGACATCACTGTTGTCGAAATAGGGGGAGGTCGGTTCATCAACAATCTCCACATCCTCCACGCGAGGCCGCTTGGGCGCTGGCGCCGCGTCTTGCGAAGCATCGTCGCGTGCCCGAGGTGGTAGACGCAGCTGCTCCACCGACGGGTTCGCCTTGACGTTGGCGACGAGCTCCCCCGAGACCCCGGCCGCCTGGAGAATCCTGTCCAACACGTCCAGGTTGAAGTGGCCCCCTGAGTCGCGCTCGGAATCAGGATCCGGAGGCTTAGCAACCCCGCTGCCAAGAGCCCGCAACTGGCCCTCGAGATCGGCAGTGGCGCAGCGCTGTGCCTCAACTTTCGTGCAGCTTGACCTCCTCCTGCAGCTTTTCGAGTTCCACCTTATTGGCCATACTTGCCTTGGTGAGCTTCTCCAGCTTGGTACCTTTTATCTGCAGCTTCGTGGGGAGCTGCCTGATCTGGATGCTGACTGGTTGTTTGGATCGTCGCAGCGCCACGCGCTCTGCCTTCGCCTTAGCATGCTGCTCAGCGATGGCCTCCATCCCGACGGCCCCGGGACACGCAGCGTGCATCCTTTCCATACGCCTCGATATGTGCCAGCAGCGCCTTGTCATCGTCGTCCACTGGCTTCGTGGTTCCCAGCTCCAACTCAGGCTGCGCTCCCGCTGCCGAAGTGCGGGCATGCTGCCGTCGAAACTCGGCCACCTCCGCCTCCAGCTCTGCGAGATACTTGGACTGGGACATGGGCTGGCTCCCCATCGCGAGCCCTCCCCCTCTGGCGCGGCGGAGGAGGAGGAGGAGGAGGAGGAGGACGAAACTTTCGAGCTCTTTGGGCACGAATTGCAGTCGGCCCGTAACATAGGGATGCGCCATGAGGATGTAAAAGGGCCTCGGTCGCCCATTTCGAGGCTTTCAAAGCGGGGCGCGGCCAATGAAAGTGACAAGGGTGGACCGAGGAGGCAACGATGCAAGGGTACTCTTGGGAAGTTTGCCCATCCTTACTATGCGGGCTGACTGTAGGGCGGGGAAGCCAAGGAGCTCTCGAGCTCTTTGGGCGCGAATTGATAGGAGGGCGATAATTGGAGGGGAAAGAAAGGCGCCCTTCTCGGGCCTTCAAGGCCCCCTTCAGGGCCCTGAAGGGTCCTTCTAGGGGCCACAGAGGGCACCTTTTCTGCAGCCTTCGCTGCACCCCCCTTTATCACCCCTGCATTACGCGCCCTCCGATGCGCGGTCTTTTCCGTATGGTTCTAGGACGTGTCTAGTGACTGAAACATTCGACCCTCGGTGGCTGCGCTTCGCTCCACAAGTTCCCGCATCTGACAGAGGCATGCGTGCATGCTCACCTCCAGCTACCCACGCAAACGATGTGCAACCACGCGCTGCAGTGGCAACGATGGGGGCTGACTTGCGCATGCCAGGCGAGCGCCAGAATGCCGAAGCAGCTTAGCACTGGTCGTGGCCGATGTGGGCGCCTCAGAACGGCCAAACATCGACCACAGCCGCATACGGAGTGCGCGTGTCCCGAGGTCGGTAGCTTCTCCCGCGAGGAGCCCCTGAGGACTCAGGACTCGGATGCCCGCGAAACGATCTCATGGTGGGATCGGCGCCAGGGGTGCACACAGTCCGGAGGAGGGAGTAGAAGAAGAAACAACGCCATAAACAGGAACGTGGATCTGCGCTGGACCTCCCTCCCTGGCGCGCGGAGCGCGCCAGGGGCGGCGCCAGGGGCGGCGCCAGAGGCGCCGCAGGGAGGGCCCAGAGCGGATCCAAGAATTCCTCGCGGAGCGCCAAACTTATGTTTATGGTGTTTTTTTTCTTCGAGGGAAGGAGGGCGGGGGACCCTGGGATCCAAAGTTGCGAGAAAAAGTACAACAATAGCGAAAATGAACGACTGGAGACCGAAATTCCGAGCCGGATCGCTGGGTGATGGCCCAGGGGCCCACAACCGGTGGGCGACATCGCCGAGGTTGTGGAGGGCGAAAGTGCAATGCCCAGGTTTGCCACGCGAAGTGGCCCACGGGACGCTCTGCTCTCTGTCCGCGAGGCGCGAGAAGGGACAATCCATAATCCAGGCTAAACCAAGAAGGCCTCCCAGGGCTCCGTGAGCGCAGTGGAGCCCTGAATCAGCTTCGAGCCCCCGCCCGCTGAACAAACTACAGGCTGGCCCCCTTGGCAGACGCTTCGCGTTGAGAGATCGATGCGACCCAACGCCTTGGAAAAGTGTCCTCTGAAGCTCGCCGCGCGGGGAGGGGAGGAGAGAGGGGGTTGGCGGCGCGCACAAGGGGGTCGGGGAAGGGGGGAAGGCTTCTTAGAAGAAGAAGGCTGCTTCTTATCAGGCGGCGTCGGCCTTACATCTACAAATTAGACCCGCGCCTTCTCAGAAGCAGGGGTGCGTCTAAGAAGCCTCCCCCCTCTCCCTACCCCTCTACGCGAGGCCGAGGGGGGTCGGGGGTCCCCCGGCGCGCCTGGGCTGGGGTGCGAGGGGCCGCCGCCGTTCGCTGTCCGCTGTGACGTCCCTCGGCATCTCTCGTCACCGTTCGGCGCCACTCGGCGCCGTCGGTGCCGCCGCGCCGCCGCCATTCGCTGTGCGTCCGCCGTGCCGTCCCTCGGCGCTCTCGTCGCCGGCTTCGGCACCGCTCCAGGAGCCGTTCGGCGCCGAGGAGGAGGAGGAGGAGGAGGAGGAGGAGGAGGAGGAGGAGGAGGAGGAGCGAGAAGAAGAATGATGATGCTGATGCTGATGCTGATGTGATGATGATGATGATGATGATGATGATGATGATGATGATGATGCTGCTGCTGCTGATGAGGAGGAGGAGGAGGAGGAGGAGGAGGAGGAGGAGGAGGAGGAGGAGGAGAGAAGGAGGAGGAGGAGGAGGAGGAGGAGGAGGAGGAGGAGGAGGAGGAGAGGGGTGAGGGGAGGAGTGAGGAGGAGTGAGGAGTGAAGTGAGGAGTGAGGATGTGAGGAATGAGGAGTGTGGAAGGAGGATGAGGAGGAGGAGGAGGAGGAGGAGGAGGAGGAGGAGGAGGTGGAGGAGGAGGAGGAGGAGGGATGGGGGCCTCCTCCAGGGGCAACTCGCCGTCGAAGTCGCTCTGGAGCTGGGAGTAGGACAGGCGCGTCCTCCGCACGATGGAAGGGCGGGGGGTGCGGGAGGGGGGGGGCGGGCGCGCACCGCGGGGGGGGGCAACGCGCCTCGCCGTCGGACGATGGGAGGAGGGTGGAGGGAGGAGGGAGGAGGGAGGAAACCGATGTCGGGCGACGTCAACCTCTGAGATCTGGGCGTTGCAATCTGTTCACACTGGGAGCCCTCGGCCACAGTCGGGCCTCGGGGCCATCTCGCACGGTCGGTCTGGCTCGAGACGTGCCGCGGAAGGACGTGCGGGGACTTGCCCACATCCACTGCAGATCGGAGTTTCCTCCTCCTCATCCTCAGCCTCCTCCTCCTCCTGCTCCTCCTCCTCTTCCTCCTCCTCCTCCGCACCCTCCCCATCCTCCCCCTTCTTCTTCTTCCTCTTCTTATTATTAGTACTCTTCTTCGTCTTCTTCTTCTTCTCCTTCTTCGTATTCCTCCTCCTCCTCCAGAAGCCCGAGGCGCACCGGACAGGGGTAAAACTCTGCCCCCGGGCCCGCCGTATCCGGTGCGCCTCGGCCTCTCGGCGCCCCTTCTCAGAAGGTGGGCCCATAGGGCTCTGGTCGTGGTGTTTCGCGATGTTCGACTTCTCGTCGACGACGGATCTCAGAGACCGACCACCTCATAAGCCGAAGCCATGACGAGGATGGCATCGGGTCAGGACAAGCATAGAACCTCTGAGACCTCGTTGCTCTGGAGGATGCCTCGGGCGCCGGGGCCTCCTCAGGGCGTTCCAGGACGCTCCGAGAGGCGCTCCAGAACGCTCTGGAACGGACTTATCCTCGTCCTCGCCCCGTCGAAGGTTGGACGCCTGAAATGGGCACGGAACCGACAGCGGCCGCTGTTGGGCAGGCGGCCCTGTGTATCAAATGGAGAAGGCCCGCGGCGGCACCGACGGCGACAGCGATTCCCATGCAAGATGGCCAGGAACTGCTGCTGGTCTCCGTGCAAATGGTCTCCGTTCCCATCTCGGCCCCCCCCCCCCGAGGGCGGGAAAAAAGCCTCCCCAGAATCCAATGAGGAGAGGGCGCCGAGACCGTTCCCTCCCTGGAGGCCCTGGCCGCCACGGCCAGCTTCGCCTCTCGGGTCGGGCGAAAGGGGGGGATAGCAAAGGGGGGGGTTTGAGAATCAGCTCGCGTAGCTGATCTTCCCGGCGCCTCCCGGCGCCGGGAGGCGCCCATGCATCGAGGAATGGACCCGGCGGCGGGGCCGAAATCAGCTGCATGCAGCAAATTTCGTAACCCCCCCTTTCCCAATCCCCCCCTTTCGTCTGGCCCGAGCCTCGGCCAAACTCCTCGCCCTTTGGGCCCCTCCGATCTCACCGCCCCTGGCCCGGCCCATCCCTCCGCGGGCCCCGCGCAGGAGCGCGGGGGGCCCTCCTGGTCTCGGGCAAAGCTTCGCACCCCGGGGCCAGTCCAGACCCGGGCCCGTCGGGCAGAGTGTGGAGGAAGGAAAGGAGGAGGAGCAGGAGGGCGAGGAGGGGGAGGAGGGGGAGGAGGGGGAGGAGGAGGACGAGGAGGGGGAGGAGGGGGAGGAGGATGATGATGATGATGGACGACAATGGGAGGACGATGATGGAGGCCGATGAGGGGGAGGACAACAATGGGAGGACGATGCACCCCGACCCGGGTCCATGCGAAGGATCCTGCACAATCCGACAGGACCCTGCAACCAAGCCCGGGTCGATGCGACCCTGTCCCTGAAGGATCCTGCAAGATCGGGCGCTCTGGCTGACCCCCGTTTGCACTGACCCCCGTCTCAAGGCTTCCGATGGTCTCTGGCCGGGGGGGCGCCGGCAGCAAAGCGGCGGGCGCAGGGTGTCGGCCCAGCCAGGAGCGGCGAGGGCAATGCACCGCGGGCCAGACATGTGTTTCTGGAAGCCTACAGCCAGCCCGTGCAAGAAGGACGCACGGTAGGGATGCAAGGGCATTTTGCAGGGGCCCAGGGACACACAAGACATATGCGTCGGTCGGAGAAGGTAGGAGAAAAAACATGAAGCGGAACGGGCGGAACAAGTAATTTGATGAGGTTCAGGCCCGCCCAGAGAATAACAGAAACAACAGAAGGTGTACCGATCCTTGGAGTAGGACGGCGCTTGAAGTAGATTGAGTTCTGGGCATCCAGAAATACCCACTCTCAACGACTGGCGTGCACAGTCAAGTCGTATAAGAAGGAGGCACCATAGGGATACAAGGGCCTGTGCAGGGGCCCGAGGGCCCAAACAATACATAGGCACAGATCCCAGGATGCCCCGTACTTCTGCATATGTTCTGGACTTTGGTCTTCCCCTCCATGTCTCATGTTTTCCCAGATGTTCCTGGGTATCGGCGATGATTTGTGTCTGACATTTTCCCTCCTGAGCCTGGATGGCCATGTCGACACTTTGCGGGCCGAGCGCGGCCAGCGAAAGCTGCCAAGGATGGGCCGAAGGGAGATGACGCAAAGGTGACCAGGGGAAACCAAAAGGTGCCGATGCCGCAACTCCCCGGGCCTGACGAGAGTTTCGAGGGAATTCCAGCGGTGGAAACGAGGGCCTCCCAGGAAGCCCAAAAAGGAGAAAACGGGGGAAGGGTAGCGTTGTGGATGCCACGACAATGGACACCCTAACACTCCTACCATTGATTTAAAAAT